AAATCTTTACGGGAGCAGAAAGCCTCATCTTTCTCCCGTGGAACAGCTGGTAGTTTCGAACTACTGACCTTGCAGTTCACAGCCCGATTTGTAACTACGCCACCAGAGCTCCTTTTATATATATATAAAGGAGAGAGAGAGAGAGCTCTGGTAGCGTAGTGGTTACGAGTCGGGCTTCCAACCTCAAGGTCAGCAGTTTGAAACTACAGGGTCGCTATAAGTTACAACTGACTCTACGGCACATAACAACACCAACAACATATATACATATATAATTGTGGGTACTATAGTGTAATAATATGGTAAATCACTAAGATTTAGAAATAGTAAAAATGGATCATATTTACTGTACATTGTACAATTATTCAATTGTGTACAATTCATCTACTGCTCACAGTGACCCCAAAAATAAGAACTCCGTGTGAGTGTCATGGTAGGGTGACAAGGGACAAGATCTAAACAAAGTAATGTGAGTCTAATCATTAGAGATGGAGGTACAAGTGCTCTAGTTACCTTCACTGGTGATTAGGAGGGGTTTGGAAGACATCTGTGCCTCCCACAAAGACATAGTAAGAAAGAGAAGCACATGACTATTTACCAGGTTAGTGTTGACATGTGTGCTAGAAAAGATGGAAGTTCACTTTACTGTCAACCTGGACAGAATGGCTTGGGTTTGAAACAATCTTTGCTTTTGTCAAACTATTTTTCCTGAAGTTCTTGTTGCCCTGTTGTTAAGTGCTGTTGAGTCAGTTCTGACTCATAGTGACCCTGTATATGGTTTCCCAGGAGTGGCTGTTGAGTTTGAACTGCTAACCTTGTGGTGCAAACTGACCTTGCGGTCCAGCGCTTTATCCTGCACCAACACCCCAGGAGTGCCTTTTAGTAGGAATACCAGGGATACTGCCGCCTCAGTATCTAGATTAGGTTATCGCCTTTACAATTGGTTTTGTTGAGTTTCCTCTTATAAAACTTTGACTTCCTACATTGGAGAACACTTTTCTTTAAATTTATTTCATTTGGGGCTGCTTGGGGGAAAGGATAACGTTAATGATGGATTTTCAGAATGGCATAGAAAGTGCAGGAATGGCTTTGACAAGTGTCTGACTCTTCATGTCATCTAGTCTTTATCGAAGCTCAGCAGATGGATTTGGAGTATGTTCTGAAAATTTCCTTTTTTTTTTTCTTTCTTCTATAACATTTCTTTTCATACCTAAAAACGAGACATCTGGAATTCTATCTGATTTTTCACTCAAAGAGAACAAAGGTTTTATAAAAACGTAGGGAATGCACTCACCTGACATAATGGGAACAAAATGAACTTATAAGAACACTTTTATGCAAAAAGTCACATGGGAATTGGACATTTGAATTGCATACTGATAGAAGAGCACGTGATAAATTTTTGGGTTATGCCAACTGAAAACAGATGGTGGGAGGAAGGAGGAAGCAATAGGAGAAAGATTTCCTTCTTTTGAAATGTCTCCAAGAATCTCAATAGAAAAGTCAACAAATTCAAACTAGTTTTATTTTTTTGGCTGGAAGGTGGTAGAGAAAACTGGCAGTGGGTTTGAACTGCCGACCTTGTGGTTAGTGGTCCAGTCTTATCCTGGCATGGATACATTTTTACTCTATGAGATGTTACTTTTTTGATTTGGTGTTACATACCAGTTACTCGGAGTTTATCTGTACCAACAACAACTTCCTTTTCATCAACCGTAAACAGTGGCTTGCCATCCTTGGAGTTGATCTGGAACTGCTGGCTCTGAACTTCCACCATTTTGGGACCTGAGGGGTTAATTGAAACAGTTCATTATAAAGACTTTACTATATGCAGTGTTGAAGTTATGTCACCTAACAATGCCAAGTTGCTGAACATTTAGGATTTGCTACAATTATTTTTTTGATCCTCTGATTAAATTCTAAACTTAGATATATTATTAAAATTAATCTATTTCAGATATGTTGTTAAGTGACATTGAGTCAGTTCTGACTGATAGCAATACTGCATAGGATTTTCTGAGGAGTGACTGGTAGGTTTGAACCACCGACCTTGCTGTTGGCAGTCCAGTGTTTATCCTAGAGTGCCACAGCAGGGCTCCATCTCAAATATTGTTGTTATTAAGCGCCGTCGAGTCAGTTCCGAATGACAGTGACCCTGTATGGGGTTTCCAAAGAGCAGCTGGTGAGCTTGAACCGTCGACCTTGTGGTTCAAACCAACATTGCAGTCCAGTGCATTCATCCGCAGCACCACACCAGGACTCCCACTTTCACCACAGTCAAGTCTGAAATATTGTCATCCCCACACAAAGAATTCCAATAGCAGTCTCTTCCCATTTTTCCTCAGCCCTCCAGTCTTAGACAACCATGCATCTTTGTTCAGTCTCAACACAGTTGCCTACTCGGGACATTCCCCATCAGTGAAATCACACACTACATGGTCTTTTGTAACTAGCTTCTTTCACAACGTGGTTGTGTCATGTGAAAATGGGGTATTGTTAAACTGGTGATTTTCCCTGTGATTATGGGCTTTTTATCACTCAGAGAACAGTACAGCGTCTTCTCAAGTGGAAAACATATTAAACACTCAGTTGCAACGTCAGTTTAAACCACAAGGTCAGTAGTTCAAATCCACTAGCCACTCCTCGGAAACCCTATACAGGATCACTGTGAGTCGGAAAGGATGGCATTAACAACAACAACAACCAACACTAAATACCTATATATTTTTAAAATAAAGAAGGAAATGTATTCACCTCTGTGTCTTTTCTCAATTTCTTCCACCTGAAATGTCTCTTTCTCCCTTTCTTGGGGACACGTGAATTGTCCCTCTTAGTATGACCATCCTGACTGTGAGTCCCTTGTGGGGATTCTCACTCAGCCCTGTACATGTTTGCATCATACACACACACACACACACACACACACCATCTGCCGTCTAGTCGAGTCCAACTCATGATGACCTACGTGTGTCTGAGTAGAACTGTGTGCCAGCAGTGGCTGGTTTTTTAAAGGTAGATCACCAGGAATTTCTTCCAAGGTGTCTGTTGTTGTTGTTGTTGTTATTGTTATGAGCCGTGGAGTCTGTTCTGACTCATAGCAACCCTGTATAGGGCTTCCAAGGAGTGACTGGTGAGTTTGAAGCACCACTTCACACCACCAGAATGGCTGTAAAAAAGACAGACATTAGTGTTGTTGAAGATGTAGAGAAGTTGTAACTCTCATACATTGTTGGAGGGAATGTAAAATGGGGTGGCCATTTTGTTTGCAGCCATTTTGGGAAACAGTTTGTCAGTACTTCAAAATATTAAAGAGTTACTGTATGACCAATGGAGTCCGGTGTGGCGCTGTGGGTTAATGTGCCAGATTGCAAAGCTGTTTGAACTGCAAGGTCAGTGGTTCAAGTTCACCAGATGCTCCTTGGAAACCCTATACAGGGTTGCTATAGGTCGGAATCGACTCGACGGCACTTAACAACAATAACAACCATATGACCAAGCAAGTCTACATCTAGGTATATGTTGTTGCTGTTGGGTTCTTTTGAGTTGGCTCTCATTCACAGCAACCCTCTGTGCAACAGAACAAAACACTGCCTAGTCCTGCGCCATCCTCAAAACCAATTCCTATGCTTGAGACCATTGTTGTGGCCACTGTGACTATACATTTCTTTGACGGTCTTCCCCTTTTCTCCTGACTCTACATTACCAAGTATAATGTCCTTCTCCAGGAACTGGTCCCTCCTGAAATCACATCCAAAGTACATGAGACAAAGTCTCGCCATCCTTGCTTCTAACGAACATTCTGGCTGACTTCTTCCAAGACAGATTTGTTTATTGTTCTGCATGTCCATGGTATATTCAATATTCTTTGACAACATCAGAATTCAAATTCTTCTTTGGTCTTCCTTATTCACTGAACAGTTTTCACACGTATATGAGGTGACTGAAAATACTATGGCTTGGATCACAGACATCTTGGTCCTCAAATTTCCATCTTGGCTTTTTAACACTTTTGTAGCAGATTTACCCAATGCAATATGTCCTTTGTTTTCTTCTGTTTAACTTTGTGTTGTGAATTGAATGAAGGTTTTGTCCTTTGCTGCTTCCATGAACCTTAACTGTGGATCCAAGTACAATGAAATCTTGACACCTTCAACCTGTTCCTCATTTATCCTGCTATTTATTGGTCCATTTGTGAGGAATTTTACTTTCTTTACACTGAAGTGTAATCCGTGTGGAAGGCTTTGGTCTTCCTCAGCCAATGCTTCGAGTCTTCTTAACTTTCAGCAAGCAAAGCTATGTCATTTGCATATTGCAGGATATTAATGAGTATTCTTCCAATCCTGATGCATTCTTCTTCATATAGTCCAGTTTCTCAGATTATTTGCTCAATATGCAGATTGAATGAGTATGGTGAAAAAATACAATCCTGACACACAACTTCTCTGCTTTCAAACCATGTTTTAAACCCCTGTTCTGTTTGAACAATTGCCTCTTGGTTTATATACAGGTTCTGCATGAACACAGTTAAGTGTTCTGGAATTCCCATCCTTCACAATTGTATATATAATTTGTTATGATCCACACAGTTGAATGACTTTGTATAGTTATCCCTCATCCTACTGTCTCATGTGAATCAGCTTGAATTTCTGGCAGTTCTCTGCTGATGGACTGCTGTAATCATTTAAAAATGATCTTCAGCAAAATTTTACTGAAGGCACTAAGAGCTGGTGGCCAGGAGACAGACTTGCAGAATGTGCCCTTTGGTGGTGTAAATTATTATATATGCCTGAGTGTATGAGAAAAAAAAGTGAATAGAGAGAAATAGTGTTAACTGATGGTACATGGAGGAGATTATAATCATTGTAATGAAACAAGGTGTATGATTTGTTGAATATAAAACGGATGATCTGCCCTGTAAACTTTCACTCTATTCATAATAAACACCTTTAAAAAATTATCCCATTTATAATTCATCTCCTGGCTTCTATAATATTCCAGTGGTTTTCATTAACTAGTTGGACATCAGTTAGAGCTGAAAGCAATCACCTTCTGCAGCAGAAATCTTTAAGAAACAAAATTCAAATTCTACCTTAGTGATAAGAAAAGAGGTACCCAGTAGAATACAATTTTTAATGAAAATCTTTGCTGCAAATAAAGAAGCAATGATTAATAGTGTTCACATCCAATGAATTAAGTTTGCAAAACTGGTTTAAGGGTTTTTCTAGTGAAAATGCCATCATGTTTTTCTTTTCACACAGTATGCCTCATTAATAACCTTTTTTCTCCCCTTATTATGTCTTTAATTTAAAATACTGTCTTTTGCCCTAAATACAGTCACAAAGTCCTTTAAAATAGGAAAGAATGATTCTACTGCTACAAATATGGTATCTTAGAGAACGGTGCTACACTGTAATCACTAAGCTGTGGTTAAGTCTTTGCTTTACGACTTCCAGGTTTGATTTTGTATAACTTAGTCCGTAAGCCTAGTATTAACTAACTTTCCCATTTGACCTGTCTCTAGTCTTTAGGCCAATCAGTTACATCTATGACTCATAAACTCACTAACCTATGGCATCTCAGAAGGAAGTCCTGGAAATCTACTTCCAAAAAAATCAGCCACTGAAAACGCCAAGAATCACAGTTCCACTGGACACACATGGGTTTGACTTGACAACAACTGGGCTTTTTAAGGTGTAAGACTTGCAAAGACTCCAATGCTATTCACAGCAATTGCGTTGAATGAACCTCCATTTCTTCATTCCTGACCTATTCCACTGCAATTCTGCCTAACATTGATTACTAAATCTTAGCTGTCCTTCCCACTCACCATCCCCTCCTTGAGTTTCTATGCTTGCCATTGGTATTTAGTTACCCTGGTCAAAGTCCCTCAAGGACGTGACCTAGACCTGTACTTTGAAAGAGTTTGACTGTAGACCACCTTAGTTGGACCACCTTGCTTCATCTTATCTCTTGGACTCTTATCCAATTTAGGCTGGTGCCTTAGCCTAAACAATCATTCACTCACTCACCCATTCATTCAGCATGTATTTATTTAAGGCTTCCATATGGCCAGCACCAGGCTAAACAATGGGGCAATGGGGGACCAAGCAGTCAGGGACCCTGGCCCTAGTCTATCACCAGGGTTGTTTTCTCCAACAATTGATCCTTCTTTCTATCCAGCATCTGCATTCCTATCACCAGCAATCATCAATGCAATCTTGGTTGCATGTTTGATCAATTTCAAATGGCAGTAATTCATCAAAACTGCTTTCTTCAACTTTGGCTTTTAGGTTTTGGCTGGAGCATATATATATATGTTAGTAATAGTGGCATATATTGGTCTTCCTTGTTGTTGTTAGGTGCTGTTGAGTCAATTTTGCCTCATATTGACCCTTCATAGGATTCCCAAGGCTGTAAATCTTTATGGGAATAGAAACCCTACTCATAGAGACCTTATATAGGGTTTCCGAGGAATGGCTGGTAGGTTTGAACCACCAACCATGGACCAGCTTGGTAGGTTTGAACTGCCGACCTTGTGGTTAGCAGCCCAGTGTTTAACCTACAGCACAACATTAAATGTTATTTTTCAAAGGCAACATATGCACACAGATTCTCAAATCTAAGGATTCACAAATACTTGCTAAGTGGTCATCAAAAGCTTTGTGTATTTGTTCATAAAGCTGCAAATGTGGAGTATACAATCTGCCAATAATGATCTAACCACACACTCGACGGATTAAATGATACCCATTTTGATCATTCTCACAGTATTTCCAATTTTTCTGTCATGCTTTTGCACACTTCATGGAGTCCTTGTGTGGTACTGTGGGTTGTTAATGTGCGCTGGGCTGCAAGTTCGGTTTGAACCACACGGTCAGTGGTTCAAGCTAAGCAGCCATTCCTTGGAAACCCTACACAGGGTCGTTATGAGTTAGAACAGACTCAATGGCACTTAACAACAACAACAATGGCATATATCACAAACTGTACAATACAGCATCAACATACATTTTCTACACACTTGTTTTTGTGTGCCGTGGAGTCAGTTCTGACTCATAATGACCCTATATAGGGTTTCTGAGGCTGTAAATCTTTACGGGAGCAGAAAGCCTCATCTTTCTCCCATGGAACAGCTGGTAGTTTTGTACTGCCGACAACCTTGAGGTTAGCAGCCAGATTCGTAACCACTACACTACCAGAGCCAAACAATTCGGGTAAGCAGCTTTACTGCGATCTATGCTGTACAAGGTCTTCCTCCTGGGTGTATGAACATACCCTACTGCTGACAGCTTGAGCTCTAGAATACATCCTGACATGTTCTTTTGACCATTCACCTAGTGCTATTCCTCAATTTGTCATTCCTGGCTCAGGAGACTGACTATATGATCATCATACTCAAAATGACCAATACCCGTCCATTTCCACTCACTAATACCTATGCTGGACTCCTGGTGTTGTGGTATAGGATAAGCACTGGACTGCTAACAATAAGGTTGGCAGTTCAAACCCACCACCAGCAGCTCCTTGGAAACTACATAGTTATGTATGAATTGGAGCCAACTCAACGGCAGACAAGCACTGGACTGCTAACCACAAGGTCAGTGATTCAAATCTACCAGCTACTCCTCGGAAACCCTATATAAGGTCTCTATGAGTCGGAACTGACTCAACAGCACTTAACAACAACAGCAATTTTATTAATATTCATATAAGTTTTGCCAGAAACACACTTAAAGATACTAAAGATCAGAAAGATGGTGCATGACTGGAGGAGAAGGTTTCCTTCTGTTCTATGTGAGGCCGCCATGAGGTGAGTGGGTGTTGGCTGGATGGCAGCTGATAACAATGCCAGGGTCACTTACATTGTTGTTAAGAGTCATCAAGTCAGTTTCAACTTAGATATCAACAACCACATCTAAGCTAGCACCTTCAAACATTCAATTTCACTTTTGACAACTATTGATTTTCCTTGAGTCATATACTTCATACATTTCATGTTCTAATCACTAATGAACACTGGCAGTGGATGCTTCTCATGTTGAGGTTGTGCGACCTCAGCAAGTGAAGGACTTTCATCTGTGCCATGAAGGCCAATTCTACCTTGAAAAGGCAACTCTTCCACAGTCCCATTTTATGTGATTACCAACCTGAGTGACTAATCTTCTAGCATTAGATCTCACAAAGGTTTACTGGCTGTTGTTGTTGTTAAGTGCCGCTGAATCATTTCCGATTCATAGCAACCCTGTATAGGGTTCGCAAGGAGTGCCTGGTGAGCTTGAACCGTCAACCTTGCAGTTCAAACCAGCCTTGCAGGCCTGCACATTAACCTAGAGCGCCACTCCAGGACTCCATAAGGTTTTCACTGGCTAATGTGCAGAAGTGGGTTGCCAGGTCTTTCTTTTTACTCTTAGTCTGGGAACTCCATTGAAACCGGTCTACTATGGGTGATCCTGCTGAGATTTGAAATACTACTGGTGTGGCTTCCAGCATCATAGCAACACACACATCTCTACAGTACAGGAAGCTAACATACGTATTGTAGTAACAAGGCAGAGACACTCAGTAAATGTCAGATAAGTAGCAAAAAAGGACAAAAAAAGGACAAAAACACAAACATGTAAAAGGTATAATGAACATTTTAAGAAAGTATTGAAAAGATAAGTACTATATAATTCATTAAGAAATTTTATTTGTTTTGGGTACATTAAGGTTCATCTCTAAATGTCCTGAGAATGTCATTGTACTCGATCACACAAAGCTTCTAAGCCAAAAAGAAATACAACTGGATTTTTGCAGTACATTATGAAGGGGAACATAGGACATCTAGTATCTTGTGTTACTATAATAAAATGGGATCCTCAGGTTAAACAGAGCTGTGGTTTCAAATGTAACATTATTCTGTGTTTTTTTTTCTTTTTCTTTTTCTTTTTTAACATCCATTAAAAAATACAGGCAGAGTAACTGTGATCTGTTCTGTCATCATCAGAACCAAAAAACAACATAAAAATGCAGTGCCATGGAGTCAATTCCAAGTCAGAGTGGACTCTCAATAGGCTTTCTGAGGCTATAAATCTTTATGGAAGCAGAAAGCCTCATCCTTTTAATGATCAGAACGGGCCACCCAATCTCCTTAAATTTAGCAAATCTATTAGACCTTTGACTCTGTAGAGGATATATACAGATTCATTGAATCAGCTAGTTTGTTGCTTTGTTGATTTCATCTCTATTCTCTCTGTAATCTTCCTTCCGTACAAGACATGTTTATGACACTTCAGCTGGGCACCTGCTAGGTGTCATGTGGCCATAGCTGATTGGAGGGCGTGTCTATAGCTGATTGGGGGGCGTGTCTATAGCTGATTGGAGGGTGTGTCTATAGCTGATTGGAGGGCGTGTCTATAGCTGGCCTCAGGGCAACTCATTGAAACCACCAGTAGAACTACTTAGATATCTTTGTTGGGAATTTAGAATTTGTCAAATTGAAGGTGAGCGTTATTGATGTTGGGAACTCTAGGCAACAGGTGAAGAACACTGAGACCAAGCAGATCAAGTAGAATCACAAGAGATGCAGCCACAACCTGCATAAGTGAACAGGGGAACGATCCACTGCAGGGGAAGGAGGAGTATGTGGGAAGAGAGGATGAGAGTGAGAGACAAAAGGGAGAGAAGGAGACAGAATGAGAGCCAGTGTGCACTTTTGGCTCCCAGCCCCTGGTCTTTGCTCTCTTGAGGCTAACTCCACTTCGGTTCCTTTCCTTTACTCTCTGTGAGTTTCCCTTGCATCCTTGCAATACACATTGTACTTTTTGTGCTGACTGGAATGGTCCTGTTGGTCTTGGAACCCAAAAAACTTTACCTGAAACATACCAGATTGTCTGCCGTGGTGACAACTAGTCTCTGAAATAACAGAGTATGGTATTTAGAAAATCCCTTCTTTTCTTGTTCATAAAAGTCTCACTGTGACTTATTTAGCAGCAAGACAAAATGCTTTCCTGAAGCACCAGTTGAGGAACACGCACCTGGAAAGCAGTCCGATTAAATATGACTCACCCACTTTTAATCTGCCTGTGACTTCTCCATCAGAGTTGCGGGCGTTCACGGTCACATTATGAGCTGATTGCAGAAGCAGCGAGGAATCCTAATGCAAAATGATCGATAACGTTAGCCGAATACATGAGACTTTCGATTTGTACACGGACTTAGGATTTTTAGAAATAATTTTTCTCCATAGTCACAGAACGTGTGACCCTATACACTTGTACCTAAAATTATAAAAACTTCTGGATAACGCTACGCTAACAGAGTGAACATTTGAAAGTAGAATCATCCCATAGATCTAGAGCCCTTGTGCACATGGATTTCAATTTACCGAGTCAGTTCTCAACGTGAAAATCTAATTAAAATTGAGCTTTTAAAAAAAAATTATTTTATTGTTTTTGTTTTGAGAACATCCACAGCAAAACACACACCAGTTGGGTGACAATGATGCCATTCTTCAAGGTTAGAAACCATCGTCACCTTCCTTTTCTGAGTAGTTAGGTTCACTTACGTTTTAATTAATATATTTTGTTTTAAAAAAATTGAAATTTCAATTATGTAATTTGTGTCCAGGGTATAACATATCTTAAGATAAATCTGAAAGGTTAACTCTTCTACAGGAAATACCACATTGAAAACTTGTCTCTTGGGATAAGCCTTTGTGGTTCTGGCCAACAGTGGCTCTAGATAAGACTTTCTTACAACATTTTCTTGCCTCTGATCTGGGTATATCATCAGTGAATCTTTGACAGCTGTTCCATGGGAGAAAGATGAGGCTTTCTGCTCCAGTAAAGATTTACAGCCTTGGAAACCCTATATAGGGTTGCTATGAGTTGACACCGACTCCACGGCACACCACCACCACCAGCACCAAGTGAAAAAGAGGAAGACCTCCCCTCCCCCACAAGGAGATGGACTGACACAGTGGCAACAGCAAAGGGCTTCAGCGTAGTAATGACCTTGACGTTGGTACAGGATGGGACAGTTTCTCATTCTGTTGTGCATAGGGGTTCTATGAGTCAGTACCAACTTGATGGAAACTAACAACAACATACTAACACAAATTAAAAGAAAGTTGGAGTAGCTATATTAATACCAGGCAGAGTAGATTTCAGAATAAAGAGATTACAATTTTAGATATAGATAAAGATATTTCAGATGGTAATGGCTGTAAATTCATCAACATTTATGTAGCTAAGTATTTATGGACTCCGGTTGCAGTGCTGTAGGGTATGTACTGGATCACAAGGTCAGTATGAGCTGCAAGGTCAATGGTTTAAACTAACCAGCCGTTCCTCTGAAACCCTATACAGGGTTGCTATGAGTCAGAACTGACTGGACTTAAGGATTTATGTACCTGATGTGAAAGCTTCAAAATTTACAAAGCAAAAACTGGTAGAATTGCAAGGAAGAGATGAAGATATCCACATTATAGCAGAGATTTCAACACCCTTCTTTCAATAATTGATTATATAAGTAGAGAGAAAGTCACCTGAGACACAGAACACTTGAACAATGTATCAATCAACTTGATCAAATTGCTATTGATAGAACTCTCCACCAATCACAGAAGAATAGAAATACTTTTCAAGTGCATAAAGCATACAGAATGTTGCCCAAAATACATCATGTTCTTGTTCATTATTGCGGTGTAGTATTATTTAATGTTTCTTCCAGCCACGGTGGTGGTGGTGGTGGTTATGTGCCATGGAGTGACTCATCAATTTCAGCTGCTGACCTTGTGGTTAGCAGTCCAACTTGTAACCTGCTAACCATGCTACCAGAGCTCCTGATCTTCTAACCATGTGATGTTTGTGTCTGTGTGTCACCAAGTCAGTTCTGACTCACGGCAACCCTGTATAGTGTTTCCAAGGCTATAAATCTCTATGGAGCAGAAAGCCTCATCTTTCTCCCTCAGAGGGGCTGGCAGATTCAAATTAAATAGCCTGACTTGTAACACAGTATGCTACCAGAATTCCTTCTCATCTAAATGTTGTTGTTGTAAAATGACATTTTTGCTTTGCTGGGTTTGGGTAAGAGAAAGTGGGAGACAGCACTGACAGGATTCTATGATTCATTTGTGAATGGTTAGCAACGCTAATTGTGTTTGTAAAACTCAGTCATAACCTGGGGACACCTGAGCCCATGGACAAGGACATAGCCACAGAGGGCTAGAGCTGAGAGTGAAGCATCCAGCTGATACAAAGTGAGAGGAGAGGCACAAGAACACCCAAACTTGTAGATAGTACCCATTTGACTTAGCTTTTATGTCTTGATAATCAGAACTCAACTAGAGGAAGATAAAATTTTTAAAAAATAACAAAAAATATTTTTTGATAAAGGAAATTAGGGTAAATTGCTACAATTTGATGAACTTGACCTGTACTCATGGATGTAGTAGTTCAAAATACCAACAGAGAGGGAAGGAGTGAATCTTCACATCAAGTATCAATGCTATCCCCTCTGTATACAGGGTAGATAGGGACAGGCAACTTAGACATTGGCTACCCAAAATGAGGGGTCGATAAAGGCATGAAGTGACTGGCTTACAAGTTTTCAAGAGGGAGTTACTTTAAAAGTGTGCAGGGGAAGATAGAATCCCCACTGAATAGTTTTCATCTTGTCTAGATGGGTCTGGTAAAAGAGATGGGAATAAGATTCTTATGATTCAATAATGAGTAATTGTTATAATGACTAACTGCAACTGTCACAACAGTAAAGGTAGAAGTTTTGTAACAAAAATCAGGGAGTAGTAAATCTTACAGTCCAGAAACAGAGGACCCTAGGACCATCAAGGGAGAAGAGCACAAGTGGAATGCGGGACCCTATTCAGAGAAGCAGTGACACCAGAGATGGAGGCAGAGATGGGGACATGGAGAGAGGGAGCAGCTGAGGGCTCTAGATTCATGGGAAGGGAGGGACTAAGAGCTGGCAGCCAGGAGACAGACTTGCAGCATGTTCTCTTTGGTGTTTTAAATTACTATACATGACTAAGTGTTTTGTTTTTTTTTAAAAGAAAAAAGAGCTAAAATTAATAGAGAGAAATACTGTTAACTGATGGTACATGGAGGGGATTATAATCATGTGTGTAATTTGTTGAATGTAAAACTGATGATCTGCCCTGTAATGCACTCAATTCACAATAAAAACTAAAAAGAAAAAAGAAAAAAAAATCATAAACAAAATCAATGCCCGTTCCTTTAAATGAGCATTAAAATGGATACATCTCTGACCAGACTGATTATTCACAAAAGAGGGCACAAATTGCCCATTTGCAAAATGGTAGAAGAGAAACCACTATGGATCCTACAGACATTCAAAGGTTAATCAAGGAATTTATGACTAACTTCAAGCTCACAAATTCAGGCTTTCCACATACTGTTTAACACAATTCTTATCTTAGCACAAGCATACTGCTGTAGTTCCTAAACCACGGTAGGTTGCAGTTTGTGCACACATATGAGGCCATCACAGGGGTGACTGAGGACTCTGTACAGAGGGTGTGGACTCCATTAGGAATCTGCCAAAGACACAGTGTGAATGGCCTTTCTATGCATCTTTCACATGGTTTCTTATCTAGATAACACACTTCTTGAGAAAAGGTACTGTGCCTCTTAGTGTAGTGTGCCTCTTAGAGTAGTTAGCTGGGCTGCTAACTGCAAAGTCAGCAGTTCGGATCTACCAGATGTTCCGCAGGGAAAAGATGAGGATTTCTGTTTCCATAAACACTCACAGCCTCGATGGCATACCACCACCACCAAGGGTATAGCAGAGTACTGGTGTGGTGGTGTCGGATAAGCAGTGGACTTCGAACCAAAATGGTCAGTGGTTCAAACCCACCAGCTGCTCCTTGGAAACCCTGTAGAGTCACTGTGAATCATAACTGACTCTATGGCACTTAACAACAATGAGGCTATAGTGTTGGCTGTAGGATAAGCACTGGGCTGCTAGCCAAAAGGTTAGCATTTGAAAGCCATCAGCTGCTCCTTGGAAACCCTATGCATGGTCACCGAATCAGAACCAACTCGACAGCACTTAGTGTGTATAGGCAGTTCTGGGTTATGAACAGCTGACTTATATACAATCTGTAGTTACAAAAAGCCTATTACATTAAAATTTTGAGGCCCATACAATGGTTCATAATAACAAATGGGTACTATAGTGTTGGGAGCGACTGAACCAAGGGTCTCTGACTTGGGGGTAGTTTAAACAAAAGATTGCAACTAAACAGTTGTGGTCCAGAAACTCAGGATGCACCCAGGTCAGGCTGCCCCCTGAGGAACTTGCAAAGCCTGCCTCAGGGAACAAGGAACTTGCAAAGTCTTTCCTTGTACACAGCCATGACCTTCAATATAGTCTGCACAAGCATCTAGCTGCTCTCTGTTTCTCTAGCAACCACAAGTTACTTTCTTCTGATAAAGTCCTGCTTATTGCATGCATCAATAACACCAGATGTTCTTGCACGCCTGTCCCTGCGTCCAGCACCTATTTTGTTATGTGTATAAAGTAAACTTGCTGCACTTGGTCTGTGTCACAGTATCTCCATCAGAGTGCTGTGTCCCACCTGGTCCAAACTTTACTTATTTCATTTGTTTCTTGTGTCTTCCTTTTTCTTCTAACCTCCCATTGCCCCTATTCAGGTTTAATCTCTCCGTGTGGGTCGTGATCCTGGGCCAACCTCACTACTGTTGCCACGCTTGAGTCCATCGATGCTGCCAATGTCAGACACGGCACTATAGGACTTTGCAATCCCCAGTAAATCTTTTTATTATTACTGTTGCATTATTATGGTACAGATGTTTCTGTGTATCCAGTAGTGTTAATGGTATGACTCAGAACCAACTCTACTGTACTTAACAACAACAACAACAACATATACGTAAAGGTGTTGTTGTTGTTAGGTGCCATTGAAGCAGTATTGACACATAGCGACCTTATTCACAGCAGAACGAAACACTGCCTGATCCTGGGCCAACCTCACTACTGTTGCCACGCTTGAATCCATCGATGCTGCCACTTGGCCAATCCATCTCGTTGGGGTCTTCCTCTTTTTCTCTGACCCTCCACCTTACCAAACATGATATCCTTCTCCAGCAACTGGGCCCTCCTGACAATATGTCCAAAGTATGACAGATGAAGTTTGGCCATCTCAGCCTCTAAGGAGCACTCAGGCTGCACTATATAAAATATGCAAAGACAAACATTTGGAGTCCTGGCGTGGTTCTAGAGAATAAGCATTGGACTGGTAACCACAAGGTTGGCAGTTCAAACCCACCAGCCCCTCCTCAGAACCCTATAGAGGGTTAGAACTGACCCCAAGGCACTTAACAACAAAGATGAACCAGCTGAGATTACACACAAACTGTACTTAGCTGTTCTGACTTACATACAATTCGACTTTATGACAGCTTTAGGTTTGGGAAGTCTTTGTAACCCAATGATTACCTATGGCTGAAGTCCAGTATAGGCATTCAGAATTCAATTGAAATGAGTGGAAAAATTAAGATCCATTTTTCCCTTGCTGTCATTCTATAAAAGATCCCTGATGACATAGTGCATTAAGAACTGGACTGCTAAACCTAAGTTCAGCAGTTCAAACCCACTAGATGCTCCTTGGGGAAAAGATGAAGCTGTCTGTTCCTATGAAGACTGATGGCTGCGGAAACTTACATAGGGTCGATATGAGTCAGGATCAACTGAATAGCAGTGGATTTTTATTTTTAAGTGATTCTGTAAATGACTATCTTTTTAGATGATACTTCCCTTGCGCAATTTTAAATTTTAGTTTCCGACCTCACCTGTGTGACTGTAGTTTTCTTTCTTCACTTTTCTCAAACTGTCTAGGCTTTGCTACTGTTTTCATTCAATATTCAGAGTCTCTCAGTCTTGGGAGAGTCCTGGTGTGGAGATGTAGGATAAGCACTGGACTGCTAACAGCAAGGTGGGGGGTTCAAACTCACCAGCTGCTCCTCAGAAACCCTACACAGGGTCATTGTTATGAACTGGAACCAATGACACAGTCATACAGAGGCCGTTTGGGTCTCTTGATAGTCCGAGAACAATAGATTTAATCTGCCTCTACCTCTTGCCAGGACTGGGAATGGCATAGACTATTGTTTAATGGGAAGTTCTAACACGCACATTGTGTTTCAGTTCATTTTCTTCTCTGTCATGGTTATCTATTTTTAAATGAAATCTTTTTATTTTGTGAGATACAGCTGCTGTGTGTTTGGGCTCAGGGACAGCTTGGATGGATTTAGACCATCATCTCAAATCACCATCTTGACTGGAACTCATGTTCTTAAAGGTTACCAAGTAATTAGTTGTTAAAGGCCAGTGTACCATGTTGAATTACATTTATGATGAAGTCATTCTCTCAGCTCAGCTAGATAGGAGAAAAACTTGAGTGAAAATATTTGCAAATGCATCAGTGAATGTTTTTCTGCAATTTTATGAAAAACTGCTTTCTGGATACAACTTTGAAAATAAAATTTATAAGTAATATATCAGTGCCAACAGAAATTACAATGTACAGTTTAGTTCAGTGACTCCCATTTCTAGAAAGTGCTATTTGTTACAAAATACTGCACAGCTCTTTTACTACAGAATACTAGTCCAAATGCTACCGAAATGTTATGTACTGGTTGGCCTATTCCATGAATTCAACATTATGAAACTTGTGTGTGATTGTTTGAAATATTTCACATTACTTTGCTCCTTATCATTATTTAAAAATAAATATGTCATTGTTGTTGTTAAGTGCCATTGAATCAGTTCTAACCCACAGCGGTTCTGTATAGGGTTTCCAAGGTGCAGCTGGTGGCTTTTAACTGCAGATCTTGCATTTAACAGTCTAGTAATTCTCCTATAGCTCCCCTACAGAACTCCTTAAATCAGTATACTGGAGATGACAAAGTCTGGTAGGATGTAACTAAAGAATGACTCATTTTTTTTTTTTTCATATTAACCATAAATTCCTATTAAATTCGCTATGATTAAATCACCTGGTTTCAGTCACCAGGCTATTCTTCTAATCTAATATTGTCTGCGTTTCCTTTATACCAAAGTTGATTTCCCAATGTCATTTTATTACAGGGATGGTTCATCTGCTTTAGTGCCATCAGGATGAATGTAAGTCTATTCCATGAGTAAGCTCCCAGAATCACCCTCAGACTTAGGTCAGCCTAAGGGGTTCCTGGTCACATACTTGATTCTTACCCCAACTAAGATCTCCCCAGAAGTAACAATTGCTGTTGTTGTTGTTAAGTGCCGTCGAGTTGGTTCCGACTCATAGCGACCCTGTACTGGGTTACTGAGGCTGTAAATCTTTATGGGAGCAGAAAGCCTCATCTTTCTCCCGCGGAACTGCTGGTAGTTTCGAACTTCTGACCTTGCGGCTCGCAGCCTGATTCATAACCACTACGCTCGCTACCAGAGCTCCTTAGAAGTAACAATAGTGCCTAATAACTACTTGACACTTTTTGCTTATTCCGTCTACGCTTTTGCAGGCTGCATTCATGTATAAAAGGAACCCTGGTAGCATAGTAGGTTCCCAGTTGGGCTGCTAACTACAAAGTCAGCAGCACTGCAAGTCTACCAGCTGCTCCACAGGAGAAAGATGAGATCTGCTTCCATAAAGATTTAGAGTCTTAGAAATGCTATGGGGCCCCTTACTCAATGGCAGTGGGTTTTGTCTTTTCTTGGTGTAGCTGTGGAAGGAGGTCTAGTGGGACAATCATTAAATGCTTGGCTGCTAATCTAGAGGCTGATAATTGGAACCCACCTAGTTGCTTCTGGTGTGGTGCTGCAGGATAAGGCACTGGACTGTAAAGTTGGTTTGAGCTAGCAGTTCAAACTCACCAGTCACTCCTCAGAAACCCTATCTAGGGTCGCTATGAGTTGGAACTGACTCGAAAGTAGTTACCAACAAGCTGCTCTGTAGGAGAAAGACTGCGTCATCTGATTCTGTAAAGAGAACAGCCTAGAACATTTCTATGGGGCAGTTCTACTGTGTCACATGAGTTGCTAAGAGTTGGAATTGACTTGATGGCAAAAAACAACGAACCTATGGATGTCAAGTAAAGTAATACAATGTCCTGTAACCTAAAGCAATCTAGCCATCTTCTACGATGCAATTTAATGTAATCACTTCCCATGATGCAATCTAATGTAATCAATTCATCAGTTGACACCATGCCTGTACAGCGTGGGTCCTGAACCCAATCACTTCTATATTATGCAAAGAACAGCATAAACACACACACACACACACACACACACACACACACACACGGAGAAGACAGATTCCAAGGAACACCAAGAAATGAGAAGAAACTCACTGGACTCTGAAAAGAAAGGACTGCTTCCTAGAACCATGACCTGAATTCGATGTCTCATTTCTTAAATTGTGAAGAAATAAATTTCTGTTCTTTAAAACCACCCATTTGAGGTATTTTTGTTACAGCAACACTAGGGACCTTACACAGTACAGAGTTCTGAAAAGAGGAGAAACTGGGATCTCTGCTCATAATCAGAATTATGAAAGAAAAATGAAAGAGTGGGTCCAAACAACTTGTAAATTATAGTTAACATTTTATTTAGATGAAAGCACTCATCAATAATCTAGCAAAACTATCTCTACTGTAACATTCATAGTATCACAAAAGGAAAAATACAAGAATTCTACAAATACTCTACTTGACTATATTTGTATTTAGTTTTGTTGCATTTTAAAAATAAATCCATGGAAGTAAATGCAGATAATTTTGAAACTTGAGTCATTTAAAGGCACAGAATTATTTAATGGTGATTTCCAGTCTACGCATGGAGAACCCTACTAGATCATAGTCAGTCATCGGTTTATTGTTGTTGTTGTTGTTAGGTGCCATCAAGTCGGTACCAACC